TATAGTCATAGAAGATATCTCAATTCCATTCATTACTGAATTCATTGGCAAGATCAGTACAGCTCTTTTCTCGTCCATAGCGATCATGTTGAACCTTTGCAAGAATAGCATCCTTAATGCTATCATTTCCCTGAGTTGATCGGCCGGATTTGGAGGCATCTCTAAGCCATTCATCGCGAAGTATAATATGAGGCAGTTCAGGGTTAAATCCACGTTCAATTGCGCGTTTATATATACGGTTGATTTGACTCTTTGAGATCTGGGTGATTTCCGTGATTTCAGCATTTGACTTGCCAAAATAGGGTGATTTAAGAGCCACCACAAGAGCTCTTGTGGCAATATCGGTATTGGGTGCCATATATTTTAACAGTCATGAATTGTCAGATGGGATGCCGGAGATGAGAAATTAGAGAAGAAAGAGGAATCCATTCTTAATACATGGCAATCTCATATAAATAGAATGCGGGGTGATTTGAAGCTAAATGTAATTACTCATTAAGACGTGGTGGCGCTTCTTAGCGGTATAAATGGAATCTGAGCGGCGCAATTCTTTTGATAGCGCCCTCCGTACGCTTGAGCTATGATGCTGTACATGACCTCACATGAGTGCTCAGTCATTGACAAGTTGTGAATCTCCTGCATGATTTGTGTACATAGAGGTTCTGAATCAGAGATCCACTGTCTCTCTTGAAAGTGTAGACATCCATCATCATTGATTGAGCATGCTGAGATGTCTGTTTTTATACATCTGCAGGAAATTGAGGTGCTCTGCTTCATACAGCTTCAGCAGCTTGTTGTCAGAGTTTGTCTTATTTGTCTTTGCTGCTTGCCTTCATTGTTTTTCAAGCAAGGGATATTGAGTATGAAATTGATTAACATATATGTGGGGTTCATCTGATTGTGTGGGACTTTCTATAATCACAGAGTTGATTAACTGATGCTCTCAGTGTTTCCATCTGTCATCCAGATCATCGGATGGTATATCTTGTTCTCGGTGAAATAAAGCATCTGTGAGAATGTTCGCTGCTTCTGATTGATAATGAATTGTGAATGAGAATCAGCTAAGAAAAATAAATAATGATCAGTGCATATGTCTCTGTAAGCTTACAAGTGATTGTGAAATATTTTAAATTCTTGTGATCTTTGAACTTTTCAACACTCATAAGCTCTGACTTCCATTCGTCTAAGCATTGTATGATAGCCAAGAGTTTCTTATCATAGATTTCATAGTTACATTCAGCAGAAGACATTTTCTTTAAAGTGAATGTGCAGATCATAGAATGCTTTCATTATATATAATATTGCATCAGTGCACCCGTTCTAACCGGTTTCACTGTTCATTCAAATAAATCAT